TTGACTAAAAAATATGAGATGTAACAAGAAACCATATCATCTCTCTTTAAAACTATTCCCAAAATCCCGTTTTTCACCTTGGGCGGTCTTCCAACCAGACCCTTAATTTTTTTCCTCGTCCAGTCCCATTATAACTCTCATCCACTGTCTTCTGCCCCATTACCTTATCATCTTTCTTTAAAAATATTCCGGGGATCCTGTGCTTCACCTTGGTTGGCCTTCCAACCTAACCTTTAACCTTTTTCCTTCCTCGGCCAGTAATACCTTCATCCATTGTTTTCTGCCCTATTACCTTATAATCTTTCTCCCCAAAACCCAACCCACAATCTCCATTTATATTTTTCAAAGTCCTACCTCACCGTCCCTTCATTGTTTTCCTTTTCCGTGAAACCTGCATTCTCCTTCGTCCTTTTCTTCCTCATTACCTATTTCCATCTCAATGACTTGTTTCTCACCTTCAGTCATAGCCATTGTCCTAGACCTCTGTTAGGTTTTAGATGTTTTATAATTGGCAATTCTGTAAACAAAAAGAACCGAATTGTACCGTATTTAAAAAGTTAAGGAGTGATGTGCAAATAGTTGAAAATAGGGTTATTAGGTCTATGATTCGAGAATGGTAAAAAGAGGAAAACGTCGCGAATTTTCGCTAGACTATCGCCAAGATTTGGCTCTAGCTACAAAATCAGAAATATTGTCGCTCGATGTTACCCCTTCCTCTTGCCTTCGCTCAAGCAAAGTGTTTATCCGAGAAAATTTTATTTCCAATTTAAAACCTTTTTACCCAACCCATTTGTTTTTCTAACCTACCTATATATTCCAAAACACTTTTGTACAAAGATTGGGGAGGTTGAACATTGAGAGAGTTTCATCTGTGAGAGATTTATTCGATTCTATCTTTCAACCTTCATCTATTTTGATTGTTTTGGTGAGAAAAAACATCGTTCTTATTATTTAAATACTAAACTATCTTTCCTCTACATCTGGTCAGAGTTTTTAAGATCGAGGGAAGTTGACTGGATTCCAGTCTGTGAAGAACAATGTGTTTTTCGTTGATCTACGAAAAATAGACGATTTCACAAGACTATGAGTGCTGCAGAGTAGCAGATTCCCCGAAGAGCTTTGACAACAACAGCTGAGGATTGGTGCAGGGGAGCACGAGATCCAAGGAGAACTATAAGGAGTGCAGTTGAGAGATCAGATAGTATGGATTGTCTAGTTTGATAGATTGTAAGTTGTTTGAATTGTTTACAGTGGATTGCTTAGCAAAGTGCCCGAAATTTTTCCCAGTTGGGTGTCTCCATGATCATCATCGTGTTGGTTTACAGCTTTCATCATTGTTTATTGATTGTTCATATAAACTGCGGTATTCAAACTTAAGACTAAAATGACTTGCATGTTTAATCATCTAAAGAAAAATTAAAAAGTGATTTGTTGCTGTTTAATTCGTAAAGTATTTTTTAATTCCGCATAATATACCTATTCACCCCCCTCTAGGTATTGTTAGGGTTGAACTGCATAACTTTCAATTGGTATCAGAGCCTTAATTTGATTCTTGACCCTTTATATCATCTAGATTAGTCAGTCATTGTCCGTTCCTCCGTTTTTCGACGGAAGCAACTATGCTTCTAGAAGTTCGAATGACAGCCTTCCTTAAATCTTTGGATGAACGTATTTGAATCGTATTGAAGTCCTTTAAATATCAACATTGCATAATGATCAATGCTCCTTGTTGTAAGTCACCATGTGAGTCATATTGAGGTCCCGTAAGCTTAATAGTGTAGGTCGTGTTGAGATCCCGTAAATTTCAACACTGTATAAGGATTAGTGCTCCTTATTTGTAAGTCACAAAAGTGTTGTAAACGGTTGTATTACACCATAAATCAATATAGTGAAAAGGGCTTGCTCGTGCCAAAGAACTTAGTAACGAAGGACGTAGATCATTACTTTGGATCGAACTTCCATAATTATATAGTTTGCATCATCTCTCCCTTTTACTTATCGCTTTTATATTTGTGCTTACTATTTGAATTAATTTATTTAGTATTTACTTGCTTGAATTTAGATTAATTTTTCGAAAAAGTTTTTAAAAACCAATTCACCACCTCTTGTTTAGTTATTCTTGGGCTATCACAACCATGCATGAATAAATGTCACATTTTTTTTTAATATTTTTGAGTTTTTTCGGCTTACTTTGCTTTTATGTTATGTTGGACTGGAAAGTAATTGGTCAAACATCTTACTTGTCTTTATTTCGCACATTAAATTATATCATTGCATATGGGGAGCTCGTGTGCTTCATTCTCATAATCATCTTCGCTCTATTTAGATATCACCGATATATGGGCAAGTGCCTAAAGTGTTTCTTTTCTTTGATCATGTTCAACATTTTTTTAAGGAAAATTGCAGTCATGGTATTAAAACTTTCATTCAGACTTGACCAAACTTTTAATTTGTATCACCAACGATGCCAAACCTTTGAAATTTCGCACCTGTAATCCAATATGACGGAATACATTAGTTAAGTTGCCAGTTGACCTAAAAATCTGGAAAATTGATAATTTTGACCAACAAGGACAACGGCATTTTAGTAGGATCACATTTCCTCATTTATAAAAAAAGAAAAGGAAAAAAAAAAACAATGAACAAACCAAAATTATCTTTTTCTTCTTCCCAACATCTCCACCCCATCCCCATTCTACCCCAACCCTAACTACAACAAATCAAAAACCCAACTAGAAGTTCAATTTGTTTGGCATGACCAGTTGAA